CGGTCTAGGGCGACTGTGTCTCTAGTGTCCTGTAGTCTACTAGCTAAGCTTATGCCGCATACACACTACAGCGGTCGCTCCTCCTCAGCTGTGGATGATTATGTCAATAAAAGTAGGGTGGGTCGTTGCAAACTGACTCCCGTGCCTCCACCACTCACTCCAAATGCTTCCAATAAGACCGAGTTGGCCTGTCAGTTGGCAACCTACCAAGGACGCACGCGTAACGAAGGGGAGACACTCACTCAATCCACCGCCGAAAACCACTGCCCAAATCTTGACGGAAGGCGCAGCGGTGGCCCTGAGGCGGATAGGGCAAGAACAAACTCCGCCCACCGTGACTGCCGTCCGATTATCGACGCGCTCGGCAGGGCTGCATCAGAAAAAAAAGAAGACAGCAGTTCAGTAGACTGAAGCACTGTCTTGCCAGAATGAAGTTGAAAAAAAACAAAGGTGGCGGCGCATGCAGACTCTAATAACGTCTTAATTTTTTTATGACCTCCTGTTCAACTGCTAACGGCTATCGCATTTTTTAAAATTAGCCGGTCAATGAGAAAGTGGCCTGAGAAGAGTGAATGGGATGGGGTACATAAAGGACACACGGGTGAGAAAAATGCGGTGGAGGGGAGGTTACATAGGTGAGCAAGCTGTAGTTACAGTTAAACTTCATCAGGCTTAATTAAGGCTGCATGGGATGCGAGGGAACAGAAGGAGTTGAGCCATTTCCCTCATCGGCGGTGAGCGATGGATCACAAAGTCCAACTGCTTACGCAGTTCTGTTTTTTTTCCACCGCAGCCCTAATGACATTTATTCCAGAAAAGGGTCTCTGACGAAACTCGCCGATAAATATCGCCGTCGTAGAGGGGAAAATTTAACGGAATGATGACTCCGAAGACGTTTGTTAGCATCTACTAGCCTCTAGATGGTGATGCGTTAAATTTAACCCGGCCATGGCTGCGGTGCACGAGTCAATGGACAAAAACCGCATCTAAGCTTCACATAGGCTATTTTGGTTTGACTAAATCGGGGCACTTTTTACCTATGCACGCAACTTCAGGTGGTATTTACGAGTTCACATCAAGTCGCGGGCTCAAGAACATTGAGCGCACACAAAGGCAACTGTTGGCAACGTGATCAGACGAACATGACAAAATGGATTCTCGTGTCAGGAAATCAGGTGTCGAGCTGAAACAAGAAGCGTCAGGTGGTCTACTGGTCAGAGGGGGACGACCACTGATAGCGATACGGAACTCAGGCTTCACGTTGGGCCTTGGGGTTCTCTCTCTCTCTCTCTCGAGACAAGGAAACCAGCCCCCCTGGTCATTGTCGGCAATGGTATTCTGCCGATAAAGTTTCGAGCTGAAACAAGAAGCGTCTGGTAGCCACCGGTTCCGTGGTGAATCTTCTGGCAGCATCTAAGGCCCTATTTGGAAAACGAAGCGTGGCCACAATTACTCATAGCGAGTTTCCGCTTTTAATTACAA